CCGGCCGGCGCGCCCGCTCGCGCGCGGAGGCCCTGACTCACATTCCCAGCATTCCCGAGGAGCCGCTGGGGGGGCCGGGGCCGGGGCCGGAGCGCCTCGCGGGGGGCAGCGGAGCTCGCCCTGCCGGGCCGATTGGGGGCCGCGGGGTCTCGACAGCGCCTCCCCCCTGAAGGCAGCCCTCGCAACGCACCTGATACCTATCATTGCCATAGGCGCCCCTTCTCGGGCACCCCCTCCCCAAAAAGACTACCAGGCACTTCTGGGACTTGCAGGTGGCTTTGGCGACAGTGCTGCAGGAATAGCCCTTAATCTTCAAGTTAAGCTGTAGAACCGGGGTGGGGAATTCGCATCCTCTGGCATCCTCCCATCCATTTAATGGGCCTTTGGGGGTTGAAAGGATTCCATGAGATTTCTACTTTCTTGTTCGCCCAAGGGAAGGAGAGAATGGTAGATGAAGAGAGAACACACACACACACACACACACACACGTCACAGACCATATTCATCATATTCATTGGGTATGTAGTGTGTGTCCAGAAATACACGTCTTTCCCTGTGTAAGGTAAAAAGATGGTGTCTGAATACACACGCGCGTGTGCGTGCGCACATGCATACACATACACACACACACACACACACACACACACACTCTTCAAGGTAATAGGGCGGCGGGCGGGTAAGTTTTTCATTGCAAGAAAACTTCCACTCAACAAGTCTAGAGCCCCACCTGCTGCCATGCTACATTAGGGAGGTGACTGGGAAATATCATAGGTGTGGCCAACTCGACCTCTCACTGAGCCCTCAATTCACAGGACAGGAGTGAATGCCTTTCTGTCCCCATGACTGTTTCCAGCAATTGCAATCGCAGATCGAACTGTCTCTTGCTGGAAAGCTCAACAAAGCAAAGCCAGCCAGGGGATGTTTGGGTGAGCAGAGGTGTGGCTTTAGTGTGGTGACTAGGCAATGACTCCTGTCTTCTCCTGCTGGGAATTCAGTATTAAATGATTCCTTACACCTGTCTTGTACACCTAGAGTATTTTAGGGATTGTCGTAGCCTCATAGCCTCTGAGTCCTCTTCACTCTCCTCTTCTATCATCAGCAAATCAGCATTCATTCTCTTGAACTTGATTCAGGGGCAAAACGTAACTGCACCTGTTGTGCTTCGTTTCCATATACGTCTTTGACAACTGTGCTCAGAAAGCTTGTTACCTGTAAGGGCATTGTTAAGAGTCCTTTTTGAGAACTCTTAAAATTTTATATCTGTAGACGGGGCATGATATCACATGCCTGTAATCCTAGCAATGGGGAGACTGAAACAGGAGGATCACTACCAGTCCAAGCTGCATAGTGAGACCCTGTACCAACTACAAAAAATAAAAAATAAAAAAACATGATGGTCAGATCGGGTCCTTCAACCCAGAAAAAGTTAAGAAGAATCACTTTAAATGGAAAATGACTTTAAGTAGTAGAACAAGGGCTGGAAGTTTTACAGATCTTAAGCAAGTCATGTTATTCTCTCGGGAATTTAGTTTCCCATATGAAAAATTAAAAAGCTGAATGAAAGGTTTTAAAATTTTCTTTCAGCTAACATTCCCTAACGTGGTTAAACATATACATAATTGTATATGTTAACACACACACACACACACACACACACACCTCACAATGCTAACAACAACATTGTGAGACCTCATACCCCATCCCCAGGACAGAAAAGTATAAAATGTGTTTTACAAAACATAGTCTCTTGCCTCAGGGTTTTGTTATTGTTTTTAATTTGTTTTGATTTATTTTCTTTTGTTAGGTTTTTTTCCACATCTTTCATGTTAAACATCATTTCTCCTGTAAGTCCAGAAACTTCCATGACAAATACTTTTTCTCACAAAAATTTATTCATTCAATGAATACAGGTACTCTGAGCTAGGTCCTGTGAGTTAAGAGTCCCCTCCCTTGAGGACCATATGGGTCAATGAGGGAGACACACAAGAAGCAGGCAATTACAGCACTGCCTAGGAAAGAATAAAATTCTGGAAACTGGGAACATACAAGAAAGCCAACCATCCTCCTGGTGTTCAGAAAAGGGCTTTCTAAGAAAATGTCCTAAGTGACTGCCAGTCCAGCTTTGCTGTCCTACTCCACTCAGCCTGGAGCGACCACCTGCATGTGCTATGAACCCACAGTACGTAGGATCTTTGGTAAACACCTTCCCCAAGTGAGTTATCATGGGCCCTCTCCCCAGTACAGTATTTGAAACTACACTTAGGAAGATTTAGCTAGCGGGCATTGAATGATGAGCTTGTAAACCATAGCAGCCCAACACAGAAGTATGGCTCTCAAGACCAAGATGGCAAAATTGCCTGAAAGCAAAATCTGAAACCCTTGCCAGGCAGCAGTTTCAGTAGACAGCAGCAAGGTTCCTAATGGCCCAAAACATTTGTTGGCTGACAGCGTCTTTGATATCCTCAGTGGGGTCTCTAAGCAACCTGTCAGACTTGATTTGTCCAAAACAAGGCTCAACTTTGTACATCAAGACTATGCCAAGATCACCAACCAGATTACTGATATCACCATTCATCCAGCGGCACAAGCTCACGCCCAAGAATGGTGTCGATTCTTCTTTTTGTGAAACTGACATATCCATACTGCTGGCCAGTTTTGTCAACTCTGTCCCATCCAAAGCCAAACTATTTTATAGCCTGAATCAAAGAAAATATAGGTGTGCAGACACCTATATTTTTTTGATCCAAGTAAAAAAGTTAATAAAATTTCCACAATGAAAAAGAAATGACTATACATAAGAGCTATGCTGCCCAGTTATCAAAAAAGGTAGGAAATGGTGAATATGATGGTTAGGTGGCCTTGAAACTGAGCACTACATAGAAACAACTGCTCTTGTTACACAATGGTTCTAGATCATAAAATAAACAACAGCCTATCTTTTTTCTGGTTTTGTGTCTTATTCATTACGACTTTTCTATATTCATTTTGAATCCAGTAAAAGCAAAAAGGAACAAAACTTATATAGTCTATATTGGAAGGCTAGAGAGATAGCTCAGTAGAATAAGTGCTTGCTTGGGAAGCACAAGGTCCTGAGTTCAATCCCCAGTATTACAAAAAGAAAGATAGTCTATATTATGTGCCAGGTCCAGTTCTAAATAGCTATGGGAAAGCTCAGCAGATTAAAGTGACTGCTTAGGTAGACTAAGGACTGGGGTTGGATCCCTAGTGTGCAGTGCCCACCCTACTCCCAGGGCACGCTGAGACTGTGATTGAGACTGGGCATGGTGGCATACACCTGTAATCTCAGTGCTGGGGAGGCTGAAAACAGGAGGATCATTATGAGTCCGATCTGTGTAGTGAGGCCCTGTAGACCCTATACTACATCCATTATAAATAAATAAATAGCTATGGGCATTAACTCATTCCTTACAGTCAACTTGCAAAATGTCATTGTTATGCCTACTTTATAGATGGAGACAATGAGACACATGGCAGAAAGGCACCTAACCAAGGCCATACACAAGTACAAAGTCACAAGACCAAAATTTAACTGAAGGTAGTCACTTCAGGACAAACAAGGTAAAATCAACTCAACTTGTTAAGTGGTTGGCAATTGAATAAGAGGGGCAAGTAAAGAATCCTTCCAGGAGTCTGGGACACCTGGATGGATAGTGTGCCATTCACTAAAATGAAAAATAAAGGTTGAGATGGGGAGTGTAAGTTTACAGAAAATTTATGGGTTTTATGTGAAATCTATGAACAGTCCACAGGTTCAGTTTGGTAATATATGGACCTTAGGTGTCAGGGACCTTATGGTAGATATATCCAGAAGATGGCTGTGAGGTCAGACAACAAATGCATGATGAATGCAGTCTATGAATGTTTAGTGATGAGTTATGGGCCAGTAACCCAGAAGAGTGTCTCAGGAAGAATGTAGTAATTGGAAAACAAAATCCCTAAACTCACAGTCACCTGTCCTTAACCATGAGTTCATTAGTACAAGTAGATTTTAGCTCAAGAGAAATATCACTGGGCTGCTGTTGCAACAAAAACAACCAACCAACAAACAAATAACAATAAACAGGGCCAGGGAGATGGCTCAGTAGAATAAGTGCTTCCTTGTTAAGCACAAGGGCCTGAGTTCAATCGCCGATTCCACAAAAAAAAAAGAAATAAATAAAATAAAAATAAAAAACAAATAATAACTAACAGACCCACCACAACTACAGTTTATTGGTCAGAAGTAACCCATTAAGCTAGTCAGATTGTTTTTGCGAGGAGTGTTTTAAGACATTGTAGGCCTTAAACATCACAGCAAATATCAAAATCCAGCACTTTCAAAATGTATCTTCTTTTTCAACGAAAGTTTAAAACTTTTTTTAGCTTTATGTTTAAAATTATTTGAGCAAGAATATTACTGTTGCCGCTGCTTTTGAGACATGGTTTCTGTATGTAATTCAGGTTGACCCAAAACTCACAGCGATCCTCTTGCCCTCAGCCTCCCAAGTTGCTGAGATTTCAAGTGTGCACCCCCACACCTGGCAAAGAATCATTCATTTTATTCACTTGGGGCTGGGACATGTCCATAATCATCAAATATACTTAGGAACTATTGTGAACTAAGAAGAAAATCTAACCTACAATTGTTTCCAAATGGAATGAAATTGTTTATAAACATGAAAAATCAGAAACTCTTGTCTTATAGATACTTATAATTAAACATTTATTGATTACCAATTTGAAGTTTTTTATAAATCTGTAATTTCAATGTATTACATCTTTCAGGAGCAGA